CTGCTGTGTTTTAGGAAATGAGCTCGTGGTGTGTGAACAATGTAATGACCGTCTTTACTGTGAGCTGCATTTATGAGTCACACACACACACACACCCCACAGGCAGCTGTTCGCTCTGTGACACGCACACACAACCACACCATCACTCGCCAATATTGAGCTCAAACAACTCTCCATCTGGTGTGTTTGGTGCTAATTTAAAGCAAAAAAAAAGATTACTTTCATGGTTACACATGATGGAGCTTACATCTCTGGTTTGGCACTTTTTGATAACGGACTGTAATGTACAAAACAGTGACATTTTCTGTGCTGATGTGGTGTAACTTGACATTGACACACATTTGGACTTTCTAAATTATCGCAAGCAACAGAGAGCTCTTGATTAAAATTTTAATTAAACCTTTTTAAAGTAAGCTTTTCTTCTTGAAGTGCCTCAGTTTTAAGTTGCCTTAAGCAACAGTTCAAATGGATTCCTGAAATCTTTCAAAAGATTTCTTGGGAAAATTGACCAATTTTTTAAATGAAATCTCAGTTCAATTTGTACATCCTAACTCTAATTTGTTCCCCTGGCTCGGTCTTGTTCAACGTCACAGTCGAGATGAGCCACACACACTCGGTGTGTAAGTTTTTGGATTGTAGGAGGAAGCAAACTCACACGGGGAAAGTGATAACATGCAAACCTCACTGTCATTTAAGCCAAATTGTTCGGGCAAGAGTGTTAACAATCACACCATCATGCTGCACATGATGTTTCTGTATAGGGTATTTTATTTTATTTTATTGCTTCTTAAATGGATTTCTGACTACTTGCACATATTGGTTTTACTATATTATTTCTCTGTTCTATAAAATGTTGTTGTTTATGACACATGAAAACTAATAACTTAAAAAATATAAATGCTCATTACGTTTTTCACCTAAGGACATCACCATTATTTTACTTGTGCAACGCATTACGAGGCGATGACGTGCACTGGCTGCAGTAGAGACTAATAAACAAGGAGTCAAGGCGAAATTGCTATAGCGTGACAATAAAGTTATAGTTTGTATTACGGTAGTCATTATGCACAATATTTGGTCGAAACTATCAAACGCGATCAACTTGCAATGTTTAATTAGTTAGCTTTAGAGCTGACATGATTCATCTAACAAAGTTGAGTGAAATCCTCTGCATGAATTCTTTGGTGAAACGTTTCGTCTTTTATCCAAAAGACTTTTGGATAAAACTTGCTTATCAAGTAACTGTTTATCAAATAAGATCAAATAAGATCTATGTTTCCAACTTGTCAGAGATCCCTTTAACCCATAAATCATTTCAAACATAAAAAATATATGTCTAGGAGGTGATTGTTGTCAGTCCAAAATGGTGGGATAAGGGTTCAGGAAGAGAAAGGAAGTCTGCATGATGAAACTTCCCCATCTATTTTTGGTTGGATGGATGCTGCCTATGTACAACAATCTTTTGCTCCATTCATTGTTCCAACTGACCAGTTGTTCAATCCCTGCTAATTTAAAAAAACATCCCCACATCACGATTTTTTCCCCTCACTTGCCTTCAAGCAAGACGGATGCTTTTCTTCCCTCTCCTGCCTTCCTCCTGCTTTTTGCTGTCTGCCCTGTGTATCGGAGCTTCTATTTACACATCTTCCGAATCGCAAGTTACTGCTATGGATTTGGTCAGCTGGACTTCCAACGCAATTGATACAATTTTTTCAACCAAATGACAGGGTGCTGGAGAACCCTCATGCCCCGCTGAGACGCACGCGACTGGGTACGTCATGGATCCGTGGAGAGTGGAAAATGTTGTGCCTTTCTGTGTTGTCTCTGGAGGATGTGGCAGATTTATACATCATTGGATTTATGATAGAAGGGTTTCTGCTTTTTGGCACTGGCGGATACCTATGTTATCGGCTATTAAGAAAGATGGTGGCAGCAGTTTTGGCCATGACAAAGCTGCCTACGTTATGTGAAAGATTAATTTGTGCTTCAAGCTCTCAGACTCAGCTGATTTACAAGCTCAACCACAAGATGGAAGTGATTTATGAGAATTGTAGGCCACTTCCGGCTTCTGGAACTCACCAGCATGTTGAAGTCAATCTTGGAGAAGGCTAATAAGCACGAACAAGCAGAAAGCCCACAAATCTGGCCATTTTGGATCATCGAGAGTACCAGCAGAACTCCAGGCTGACGAGAAAAACAGTCTGCCTGCACAAAAAACAACTGTGGCTTATCTGAATCTGGCCTCTCCGTTCGACCTTGAATAGGCCATCTTATCAAATTGCTCCTGGGGATGTGTAAACTGAAAAGGCTCTGCTCTATCCATCTTTCAGACGACTGTATGGAATATAATCGTACTGTACTTTGGTGCAATGAAAACAAAGCTTATTCTGATTCTGATTATGTTGCCACCACCAGGATTCATTGTGGGAATTGTGTCAGCACAATGAGAGGTTTTAGGTGTGCACCAGATGTGTTGTTGTCCTTGATAGCCAAAAGCTTTTAGTCTCATCTGACCACAGCACTTTCTTATACATGTTTGGGGACTCTCTAATCTACCTTTTGTCAAATTCAAAACAGATCTTTCTTTTTCAAGCAGTTGCTTTTCGATACTTTGTGGGATGTCTAGGGTTTGGGGAAATTATTGGGGGAAAAAAGATTTTGCGGAGACACGAGTAACGTTCCATAGCTATACTCTCTGGGAGGCACCGTGCCTTAGTCGGACAACGTAGATGCACGGTTCCACGCCATCGGTCAAACTGTGGTGCTCACTTCGTGACAAGTTTATATATTAGCTCTTATCTTCAGTGAACGACAGAAATACCTGATCTTCCTCCTCCAATCTTTTCCATCACCAACTAAAAATAAGCATAAAAGAAAAGACAACAAAAGAAATGACAGGCTGTACAAGAAATGAAAAGTACATGAAAGGGATATATTTTAGACATCAATTAAAGATGCTGAAAAACCCTGATACAGCATTTGATTGATTCCTCATCCCACAGGTGCAGGAATAAAGTGCTTAAAGGTACAAGGACAGACTTAATAAATCCCATGAAAGTCTGCATGGGTGGAACAGAAGATCAACTAAACAAGGAATGACTCAAAATTGCACATTGTATCCTAAAAACTGCACAAACGACTGAAGATTCTTTCAAACACATCACAGGCCCAATTTCGTTAGATTTCTCGGCATCATGTAGTTAGAATGTATATGTTGTCACCTTTGAAGCTCTGAGCTTTCTCCTTGCCTTATAGGCTGAGGCTAAAAAACATCTAATTGATGTAAGAATCAATGATGAATCAGAAAATTAATCAAATTTCATTTCATTTTCA